AGACACGATGCTGATGAGATCCTCCTCCAACACAGGAGGAGACTTTAGACCTGGGAAGAAGAAGTGGAAGCTTCTTGCAGCTCTCCCTCAGCACAGGGTTGCGGAGCTGCATCGACGTTCTGAAAGCGAAATGTCCCGACGAAGCTGAACGGGGACATTGGGAAGGACACGACCGCAGGGCGGCAGGGAGAGACGGGCAGGCTTCAAACGAGCGGGAAAACTCGTCTGCAGCCGCCGCCGCTTCATTATGTAAGAGGGTTTATTTTGAGAGGAGAACACTGCCACCCTGGAGACAGCGAGGCCTGTCGGCGCGGTCTGAGCGCCACACCGAGGTCATCGGAGGTCAGTCCTTGTGTTTTAATTGCCACCTAAAGCGAGCCTCGGCGGGTTTCGCCACACGCAAAAAAATATCCCACAATCCCGCTCTGCACAAAGTCTCGAGACTGGTGTGAGTCACACCTCTGCTCGCCACGATGACACACATGTGTCTGGCGCTACGTGGTGGTGCGCCTGGCATCAGCAGCGACTCGGGATTTTAATACAGTACCTGGCGACCGACCCTCTGTCACTCCAGTGTCACATGAAGCCTCAATATGCTTGCACGCCGTCACGCTGCCGCCGGACGGCCGGGCGAGGCCGCTGACGGACAAACGGGGGCAGCAGAGTGTCGCAATGTGGCCGCCGTGCGCGCTCCCCTGGGCGCTCTGCGTACGTGGAGGGAAGCGAAGGTGGGGGGGTGTTTTGGCTCGAGTGCTGTCTCTGTGTTTGCACACACACACACACACACACACACACACACACACACACACTGAAGGTCTCCCATGCCCGTCGCTGGCTAGTGCTGTCACCAGACGCCCCGACGCTGTCATAACACAGCACACCACAGTAATTGTAGATTTCACAGCACTCGGCGCTCCCCACCACGGCGTATGACTCCAACACGAAGTGACAGGCCAGGACACAAACACACAGTCGCTCGCCCGCCTCGCTCCATTTCTCGTTTCTCTCCCCTCTGACACACACAGGCGTGCACGCACACACACGTGCACACGCACACACGCAGCCTGGACTCAAGGTTTTTTCTCTTCATTGAAAATTCTGCTGATTGCACATCCAGGCTGAGGGAACG